GCCGCCCCGCTCCCGCCAGCGCTGCCCTGCCCCCCGGGTCGGCTCTTAAGGTGGCCGCGGGCAGCGCCCCCATCGGGGACCCCCCTTCCCTGCCCTTACCTTCCCGCCCGCCGCCATCCCCTCTCCAGAGCTGCAGCACCAGCAGGGGCGGGTTGTTCTTTTCCCGGCCTCCCTCAGCCCAAGGAGCCGGGCTTTGTAGCCTGGTTTTCCCTACCCCTCGGCCATGCCGGCGGGGCAAGGCGGGTGTTGCGCCCCTTGCCTGGCGCTGCTGTGCCGGGGAAATGAGGCATGTGGAGCTCCCTGATGGCGCGTCTACACGTGCGCTTTAATGTGCACTAGCCTCTTTTACTGCGTATGAGCGCGTCAGTGAACATCCGTGCAATTAGGCTACTGTGCAGTAAAAGAGGCTACTGCACATTAAACATCACTTAAGAAACCTTCACTTTCCATACTGCGCATTAGCCTAATGCTCATGTGTTGAGTACCTCAGGGCATTTTTACACATGCAAGCACCTGGCGCTGCGTGGCTTGGAGTTGTATGAGTGGCAAAAGGGGTGTCAGCACTGGGAAAATGGCAGTGGCACGCTTTTGAACTAAAAGACAGGTGTTTTAGTTCAAAAGTGCACCACTGCCTCCATTTTCTCAGCACTGACGTGCATTTCATCATTTACACAACTGCACGTAGCACTGCACGTCACCTTGCATGCGGAGCAGACTCGGTTAATCAAGTCTCTGAAGCAACAGGTTTCCAAGTGCATTGCGGGACCAAAAGGTATGTGTGGTAATGCCCTCACATTGGAAGTACTAAATTTAATGTGCATTAGGAAAAGCGCATTCATGCATGTGTAGATGCTCCCTGAAGGACTGCTGATTTATTTTTGTATGGTAGCAGCTTGGGTTTTGGGAGCCAGAGCTGTGACAGGAACACCCCTGACCTCCTGAATCCACCTCCAGGGGGATGAAACACTCAGTGCTTGTTCCACTCGGTGAGTGTTGGTGGAAGGAGGGACACGGGCTTTGTCCATTAGGGCATCTGGAAGTAGCACCTAAGAGCAAGAGCAAGTTTCAGAAGCGTACAAATGCTCTTTTATTTCAGAAGAGCAGAGAACAAATTCAGTGTGCCCTTGTTGCCAAGAAGGATAACCACATACTGGGCTGCATAAGTAGGAGCATTGCCAGCAGATGGAGGGAAGTGATTGATTATTTCCCTTTATTCTGCACTGATGAGGCCACATCTGGAGGACTGTGTTCAGTTTTGGGCCCCCCACTACAGAAAGGATGTGGAAAAGTTGAAGAGAGTCCCGCAGAGGCAACAAATGTGGTTCAGGGGCTGGAGCACATGACTTATGAGGAGAGGCTGAGGGAACTGGGCTTTTTTAGTCTGCAGAAGAGAAGACTGAAGGGGGATTTAACAGCAGCCTGTAACTACCTGAAGGGGACTTCCAGAGAAGATGGAGCTGGGCTGTTCTCAGTGGTGACAGATGACAGAATAAGGAGCAGTGGTCTCAAGTTGCAGCAAGAGAGGTTTAAGTAGGATATTAGGGAAAAAAAAATCTCACTAGGAAGGTGGTGAAGCATTGGAACAGGTTACCTAGAGAGGTGTGGTGGAATCTCCATCCTTGGAGGTTTTTAAGGCCCAGCTTGACAAAGCCCTGGCTGGGATGATCTGCTTGAAGATGATCCTGCTTTGAGCAGGGCACTGGACTAGATGCCCTCCTGAGGTCCCTTCCAACCCTAAGTTTCTATGAGTCCATGATTCTATGAAATAAGTGACAGATCAGTCAGCCCTATAAGCTGCTCAGTCACTCTTTCAGAGAGGCCTTCTCTTGTAGCTAAATGCGCCTGTACTAAACTAGTTCCAATGGAAAGGGAGTGAATTTATTACCTGAACATTTCCCCTCTGTTAGCCATTTTGTGCTGTTCACTTTCTTTCTATAATATCCAGGGTAATAGAAGAACCCTCATTTTCCTTATAGGACGTTATGTACTTTGAAGCTTGGCATTCCCATTTCCACATAGGTTCCCACCTACAGTATTTAAGCAGGAGCCATACAAAGACTGAAGTTTGTATAAAATGGGTCAGACACCCACAGTGCAGCTCTCCAAGACTTTATCATCACATTTGCCTGGTAGCTGAGAGGGAACAGAAGCAAACAGCTCTTTAAGAGCATGATATATAAATAGGTACAAAAATGGCAGATCAATGTTGCACACATAATTACTAAATAGGTCAGAAGTCAAAATATTGTGACTTGAAGACTACCACATACAGAGAAAGGATTACTTCCTCAATACTCTAAATCACATAATTGTTTCTTGTAGAAATGAATATGGTAGTTTTTGCTGAGGTAAAAGTCTGCTTTCCAGTCAAGAGGAAGTCTTTCTGAAGAAATAAGTTCATCCTTCTCTAGAAAGAATACCAAAGCTAGTTCTAGTTCCCATTGATGTTGATAGGAATTTTTGCCATTTATTCCATGGGATCAGGAACAGGCTCGAGCTTACTTTATTAAAGAATTTGTGTTAAAATATTTAATGCATTATTTATATTCTGTTAATTCAATATTACATCGAATATGATAACATCATGCTATAGATACCATGTAAGCATAATGACACAATAAATAAATTTACAGTAATTTACACATGGTGTTATACACAAGCCACTGTTCTATCATTGTCCTATCAGTTATTTAGTTATTTAGGTTATGATAACCTGAAAAATTAACTAGCCTGGCTTCTCAGATAAATAAATACTGTAGTCCTTACTCAGGCAAAACTCTGGATCCAGTCAAGACTGGATTATATCTGACCAGGGACTACACCCAAAATGTGCATGCAGGGTATTTTTAATGTAAATATTATGTTTAAATTTTACCATCTCCTTTGGAATGAGGGGTATTGGATATATTATAGAATGAGACATTAAAGCACAATTCTGAGACCCATTAGTCACCACAAAACAGTACTATTACTATTGTAAGAGTAAGTGGCAGAATTTAGCCTTAAAATACAATCCATTTTAGGGCCTGGACAGGTGAAACTAAAACATTTAATACAACATCACTCCAGCACTACCAAAGTCTAATAGCACTGTCTTGAGACTACCCAGCATTCCTTTCCTCATACAATAGACCTGTCATGTATGTTTAGGCCTTTACCTGAAGTGTTTTTACACGTATGACAATTGCCTCCCAATTTTCATATACTCTCATTACACGATAAGTATTTAATACAATATAAGCAAAACCTTTTGAGGTATGAAAAACCTTATCATGTAGAAACAAAAGTGACGGTCATACTCATTTTGAAATACCTCTAAGACCACAAGGATACTGAAAAATTCAAAAAAAGACCAAATATGTTTGTTTATATAAGCAGCTTTAATTTATGGAACTGATCACAAGAGTAATATGATGGGGATTTGTCCCGTATTTCTTGTGTTTTGAACTCAATTATTCCTAAGTGGTGATATCTGTAATAATGCTCTGCTTCTGTGGAGCTGGCGTATGTAAAGGTCAGGAATATGAAATCCAGTCTCTTACTAATGGTGTGAATGTGGGAAAGTCCTAACCCACCACTTCTTACTTCACACTCCTATTCTTTGGCTGTTGTCTTAGTCACAGGATTACAAGAAAAGCTACATCCTTTGTAGTCTGTTGTACAGCTGAGCAAGAAAAAGGTTTTCTGTTTTGTGATTTTCCTACTTACGAGATTTCGGGGGGGTTTCCAGCCTACGTAGGGATGCAACTGAGACCTCTGAAGTGTTCAGAAAAAGTGTGTATGAAAGAGACATTGAGACCCACTCCATAAGAACTAGCAGTGATTAAGGTACTCATTTGGGATGTTAGAAACCTGGGTTTAAGTCCCTGCTTTGAATCAGCATGAGCATGAATCCATCATCTCAGGTGAATGCCCTATGATGATCTTAACTCTTCTGAAATTGGCATGTCTCTTGCTCTTATTTTGACTAGAAATTCTATCCTGGGTCTGAAAACCTTTCCTAAAGAAATCTCTTTAGAAATAGACATGTTTTGGTGAAAGCTTTGGATTTAACAGATCAGCTCCCACTTTTCCAACTGTATTCTTCTTGTCAGAATATTCCTGACCAGCTCTATCCAAGTAGAAGCAAGTGCATTTTCATTAAGAAGAATCTCCTGGTCCATTCATTTATAGCTTCCCTGTGCCTTGCTTGCTACAAAGTTTGTAGCCTGAGAGCCCTTCTTTCCCGATAAAAAAATTCATCCTTGGGATGTCTGGGGTGGGGAGGGGGTGCGTACTAAGGGGGATGGAGAAGAATTAACTGTGAGGAGGAACTTTATAGATCAGAAACAGAAATCCTTTCTGTGGCATGTACTTGCTGTCTATGGTTTCACTGCCCTCAGCCTCTTGTGCAAGTCTTCTGTATAATGATGATGATGATTTCACCCTAAGAACAAACTTACCTTGTCGGTGGTCCTGAGATGGCCTATCCAACTGGCAATACACTGCCTGATTTTTCTAAACTTGTAAACAATAATTTGTTTTCCACAGCCATATTTGGACAGTGTATTGCTGATACATATGCAGATATATAGCTTTTATGGCCATCCACATGTTTCCGTTTTATCAGCTGCATACCTTTGTCTTGTCAATGTTATTGAAATTAAAATAGGTGTTGCAGAAGAAGAGAAAATAAGTTGAGCACTCAGAAGCTGACATAGAATACTTACAGTTCACTGGAAATCAAAACTGGAGTAAAATAGCCAGTGTCATCCATGATGGGGTGGACAACTGTGATTTTGTTCCAAATTTGGGCATTCTGGAGGACCCAGATTAGTTGATTTTTAATGGTTCACAAAAGGAGTATGTGGGCATCAAGTATGTTGGTGAGATTGACCTAAGAACATTTCTGAATAGCAACCGATTTCAGACAGTAGTCACCATAGTTGATGAGACCAGCAGGGAAGAGGATACTTCTTTGAAGTAGTATGACAAATAAATGTAACTTTGGAGAAGATACAGGGCAAAAAAAGATAGGAAATGAGAGTGAGAGAGAAAGAAAGGTGGGGAAGGTGGGAGGGAGGGAGAGACATGTATAAGAAGTCCAGGAGAGGGACTGAAACCCCTGGCTCAGAAAAAAATAACAGAAAATTCCTGAGATGTTTCTCTTGCCGTATTTGATCTTACTTTTGCTATATATTTAACATTAGATTCTGAAATGTCTCTTTTACTTTGGGAATATAATTAAGATACTCAATGTATCATATACATGTATCACAATCATATACCCAATCCTCAAATCATACATCTAATCTTCAAAGCTATTCTGGTGCCTAACTACCTTCCAGGATTTGGTTCCTACAGCCTAACATTTAGAAGGGCTGAGAGCTCTATGCTGTAGTTGAATTCAGGGAGATCTGAAAGCAAGCAGTGCTACTGAAAATCAAGCCTTCAATTAGTCATTGTCAGAATTCTTTGGCATACAATCTTTCTGAGTCAGAGCCTAATGTCACTGCAAAGTCCCCTACCAGTTCAACAGCAATCCATTAGCAAGACATTAAAAAAATTGGGACAGATGAAAAATAATTATAACTGCATGGTTTATGAGGAAATAATACACAATAGTTCTGTTATTTGAAATCATGCTTTTTGTAGGTCAGTCCAACTCAACATCACACACCTATACAGATGCTGACATGCACGCATGCTTTAAAATAGCCCCTTTAGTTAACTTTGCTTCTGAATAGCAGATTTCTTTTTCATAAAAGACAGTGCAAACCAATTCCTTTATTGCAACGTGACTGGGGATGAGTGAAATGAGTGGTATGTAGCTATGAGATCTATATTTGGGACATCCCTGCAGTACTGGATTGGTTGTCTCACAGTAAACTAATATAACCTTTAGAAGGGACCACGTTACTGATTATTTTAGGAGGAGCAGCTTTTGATAACCATCAGGTACATTTTGCTGATGATATATGGGATAATTAGGTTGAAGGATGAGCCCCTCTTCAGGTGGACTATGTGAGAAAAAAATCCTGGCCCTGCTACATCTGAAATCAATGAAAGCAAAAAGGGCTAATAGAGCATGAGCACAATAGAATCGGTCAGGACTGCCCAACTCCTAAATGGCAAGTATTAAATACAATACTGAGACCTCTGAAGTGTTCACAAAAAGCATGTCTGAAGGAGACATCGAGACCTACTGCTTAAGAACTATCAGTGATTAAAGTACTCATTTTGGATGTTAGAAACCAGGGTTCAATGAATCAGTATGAGCACGAATCCAGCATCTCAGGTGAATACCCTAACTATGATAATCTTACCTCTTCTGAAATTGGCATGTCTCTTGCTCTTAGTTTGACTAGAAATTCTATTCTGGGTCTGGAAACCTTTCCTAAAGAAATCTTCTCTTTAGACATGGACATGTTTTGGTGAAAGCTTTGGTGCACCTCACAGGCCTCACCAGCAGGACAGTTCCTGCTTGTGCCTGGGGTCCATGCCCACAGTCCGAATCAGGGTGAGCCATAGGTGATACCAGGGCATACCCTTGGCTCCCAGTGCTGCATGCTGCATGGACATCTTCCCCTGCCCCCACAGCACTGCCTGAGTTCTCCCCTTCTCCTTCAACCCCTACACTGCTGGCTTGCACAGCCCCAGGCAGCTCCTCAGCCCTGCCCCAAAGTAACCTGCCATCTGGGGCAGGGGCAGGAAATAAAAGCTGGAGGAGGGAGGAAGAACCCTGAGACTCCACCTGCTCTTACATTAGTTACGTTGTTTTCTCCTGTTGTAGGTACGGACTTTATTCTCTTTCTCTGAAATAATTGTAACTCCCATTGGTTTGAAACATGAAAGAAAGAGTGATTTATTTCTATTCCAGAATGAACAGCAGTCTATGTAGACACACCTGAGTTAGCTTTAGCTTGGATACTGACATCAGTGTAGGTGTCAGTGTAGCTGTAGGAGCATGGAGCTCAGCATAGGCTAATCCTCCAAGTGTGCATCCAGCTTCTCTACTGGACTTTGAAGTCCACACTGAGCTCCTTACTGTTGCAGGTCTCCTGCTAGCACTACCTGAGCTAGCTAGCTTAAAGCTAGTATAGTAAGGGTATGTACTGACTGCAACTTATGAAGGTATAATCATGCAAACAGAGGAGTTGCTGCTATTTCTAATGGCAAAACCCTCACTCACTGGGTATAGAATCTGGCTCAGAAATAGCAAACAGTTCCTTTATTTCTGAATGAAATGTTGTGAAACAAAGACACTGCAGAGATGCAAGCATATGCACACATTCCTATTTCAGAATGAAAACAATAAAAATAAGTTTTTTTTTTTAAAAAGCTTACAGAAAGAGCAGCATTGCTTTTTGATAGAACTGAAAGCTCAAAGTTAGTTTATTTTACATACAGCAAATAATGAAACAAAACTCTTTAACTTGCCCTGTTATATTTAAGTATTGAGGACACCTTACACAAAAAGGTTGACTGTAAGCGGGTCAGTGTGCCTGTTCTTGTTCAGAAGGACTTTGTCCACTTAGAAACTCCTCATCCAGTTCCAACAACCGTTGATAGCACAAACAAAAATCCCTGACCAAACAACACAAAACCTTTGGGTTTCCTCCAGACAGAAGGAAATTGTTCCTTAGGTCTGGCCCTCCCTAGAAGCAAGCTGCTCTGGGATGCCTACTGACCACAAATTACCCTTTCCCCAATTTCCTCTTCCAGCTGTCTCCCCTGGCTTTTAACTTCTGGATAATCACTCACAGGTTCCTACCCAGGGGCTGGCTGCTCCACTTAAAGGGCATATAATGATCTTGAATAACATATGTTGCACTACCTGGAGACAACAGAATAAATTACAGAGGGAATGGCCATCTCAGATTGGCATTCTATTTGTTTTAATAAGGGTTTTAAATAGTTTTAGATGTACAAATATTTATGGATTGATCTACTGGCAATCAGGTAATATTGCTTCTAAAATGCTTTTTAAAACATGATGACTCTTTCCTTCCTCAAGGTAATATTTTTAGGAAATGCTGTTCTTTTTTATCTGCTTGATGAATCTTTGCTAGTGAGTGGTGACAATTTACATGAATGGAGGGCAAGAAGCAAGGAAGAACATGTGAAATTGAGACTGCTGGGAGTTTCCTTGATAAGTACAATGTTACTTCTCTATTTGTATTTGGCTAGCCAACACACTCTGAACAAACACCTCTATTCAGTTCTGAGGAATGTATAAATGACATAGTCCTTTCCTTCAGCACTCATTGCAATCAGAATGCTTGATCTGTAACAGCAATAAAGCATTTAAAATATTTTAAAATATTTATTTTTAAAATAACTATAAGACATGGGAGTTAACAATAGCATGACTGCCACTGTGACGCAGTTGTGGAGTGGGAAACTCCTGGCATGGAAAGAGTCCTTTCTTATTTCTGATCAAAGCATAGGTAATGGACAATCATCCTGTTCATCAGTAATATCACAACACCTTTGGTGGCCACAGATACACAGGACCTCACGTCTGCATATCCTGAAGTTTTCATTGGTTCAGAGTCAAAAGTGCTATCTATAGAGTCCTCATCACTCTGCTTAACATGGAGCTCAGGATAGACAAATCATCTCAGTTTTTTCTTAGTTTCTTGGCCAGATTTTGCAGTCTTCACTGAGCTCAGTGCTGCTATGGATATACCTCTGGCAGTGACTAAACTATTTAGTTCAAAACTGGCTCTACATACAGTAGTCACACCTCTGACTGACATGAAGATATATATGGCTGCAGATGCAGCAAAACCACAAGCCTTAATGTCAGGCCCTGGAACCTCCACAAGCTATGCAAAATTGTATTAAGTATAAAAAATCACAAATAACAGTGCATTAACCACTGTTATCATCATCATTTAGCACGTATCAACAAAGCAAGTAGCACAAAAATTGCAGTGTCCTTTTGTAATGCAGGTATGCCTGTTGACTCAGAGTTAGAAATTAATTCAGAATCACTCCAGGTAAATTCACAAGTGTTTGCAAATTACATGACTGTTGAAATCCTTTTTAATATGTACAAGTTTATGTAAATGATTTTTCTCTCGGTTCTGCCATGGGCCCTAAAATGGTCTTATTGCTAAATCCTACATTCTTACTACTGCAGACCTTAGGCAGCATTGCTTTGTTCTGAATATATGAGGATAGCAGTGGGAAAGGTGAGCATTATTAATGTTAAATATTTATGACTGCATCCAGCAAAGAGGCAAGCTTGAATCTACCATCTGATAGCTGCTGGTGTTCTGCAGAACTAGTGATGCATGCTGTATTCAAGAACTGGATAGGATGAAGTGTCTCCAGTTTTTCATTCTGTGTCTCAGGTTATGAAGATTGTTGTTTTTTTCCTGGCTCATCTCTCCTCTCCATCCCTTTACTACCCCCCAGCCCTAGACATCCCAAGGATGAATTGTTTTATCAGGCAGGAAGGGTTCTTAGGCTACAAACACACATCTGTGTGTGCAGTCATTCAGACATCTATGTCCTTTGTCCTAGGATAAATCGCAAAAAGATTCACAAGATAGGAAGTACTAACAGTTTATCCTAGGACATTGCGAAGAGCATCTGAATGGTTATCCTTGGATTGCATAATTTAATTACTGACAGAAAAACAGCAGTGCATTCAGCCACTCACTAAACCCAGATTAGAAGGGCAATGTGTATACATGCCAATCCCAGGATATTTCTATTCAGGACAAACATAGACAATTTGTCCAGAGGCAAATGTAACATCTATCCCTAGCCCAAACCAATGGTGCTGCACAAGCTGGAATTTGGAGGGAGGGAAAAATAAAAATAATTTTGAGTAGAGTGAGGCATACCTATAGTAAATAATATAATCTCCAAATCTGGGGACTGCTCATTATATTTGATGATTGGCAAGAATGATGATTGACTTTCCTTTAGAAATAGCTTTCTTAATATGCCTATTTGAAAATAGACTGGCAATTTTTCCAGTTCAGTCATTTCCCAGAGACAAACAAAGCAGAACATAACTGTCTAGATTAAAACAAAGATAACACTTTGCAATGGCACATGAGAGTGCTAACCAGTTACCAGCCACTTTGCCAAACGGCTCAAGTTTAATATCTTCACACTGACCACAAGATGGCACTACCTTGCAAATAAAATGTTAATATCCAGACCGAGCAATTTCAAACTGCCTCTCACTTCATTCCCTCCTCCCCATTTTTGTTACAATACTTAATTGCATTTATTTCAGAATTACTAGGCAACCCACCCCCAGATGTATAATTTAAAGGTGATGTGCTTACATTGGGATGTTCAGGTTCTGAACAATTCAGCACCACCATAGGATACTGGGATAAGGTGGTGTTCAGCTTTAAGGAGGAGTCTCCAGCTCTCCTCACCAATCTTTAGGATCTGAGCTGGAGAAATACCAGTGGATTCTTTCCCCCACTTGCCTTGCTCCTTGTTCTCCATCCCTCCTTCTGCTCGAAACCCTGATAAGATCAAGGAGCCAGAGAAAACAAGAATACTTACAGTATAAGGTGAGTTTCTCCCGTAGTTCTCTTTCTCTCTCTTTCAATTTCTGTCTCGGTGCATCTATCTATGAGGTTTTAAGCCTGATATTTGTATGTTTCATCAGGGCGATTAAGCGGGTGACAGACTGTCAGTGAGATGGATGTGTGACTGTACCGAGCAGATCGTTGGTACATTACCTGTGGGGTTGGTGCCTTGCGGAGGCAGAGTTTTCTCAGGGTCTTTCCAATCCCCTAGCATCGCATCCTTGGACCCTTGCATCAAACTTCTCATCTGCATCCTTGGAAAGTGCAGGAGAGATCTGCGTACCTCCCAGAGGGAAAGGTTGAAGTGCTGTGTGCCTTTGCTTCTTCTTGATTTCTCCCTGCTTACCCCGAGAAGCACAGACTAGCTCCTTCTTTTAGGGCAGTGGTGCACCCAGGGCTACCTGCGTCGTCTTCAGCTGATGAGTTGTCAGGCAAAGACAAACCCGACCTCTGTCAACTTAATCCGCTCCATACTTCCAGTTTATTTAAATTCAGTAATGGAACAAGGTGCCACGACCCTGACAAACAGAACTAGCTCTCCCCCACCCCCCAATCCTAGGGTGTGATTTGGAGGCTGGAGGCTCTCCTGGCTTTTCTACTGCGAGGAAGGACCTTGCGTTTGGATTTTCTCTTTAGAGACGCCTACTAAATACTGCAGAATAGGGAACAGAGAGTGATGGAAGCGAGCGGGGGGAGAGCAAAGCTTAGGCCTGGCACCCCCAAAAAGCTTCTGCCTAGTTTATGACTGAGTTCATTACTGGAGATCATAGAAACATAGAAAAAATTGGGTTGGAAAGGACCTCAGGTCATCTAGTCCAACCCCCTGCTCAAAGCATCCCCAACTAGATCATCCCAGCCAAGGCAGAGGGGAAAGGACCACGAATCTCCCACTCCATCCCTTGACCTGCGGGGACCTAGCAAAGTCCAGCCTTGACGCGCTTGCAGGTGATCTCTTCTGCCCAAATGAAGCAGGGATGAATTTTAGTTTAAAGCGAAACTTGCCCTGGTTTGTCGTTCGGGCCAAGGAAAATTGAAGCTGGTAAATAATCCTTGCATGCACCAGACAGATGCACAGGCAGCTTTCTACCTGCATATAGACACATAAAGAGAAGGATGCAGGTACAATGTCTACAGATAGGTCCATATGTCTGTGTTCAATATGGACACAGACATTGTACACAGACATATGTGATATATATCTCACCCCGACCGTGCATGGGATTGTGGATGAGAAGCAGAGCGGGAGGATGAAACAGACTCGATGACCCCATGTAAAACATGTATTAATACTTAGTGGATGTCCAAACCAGCTGGAAAAATAGGAGTAGTCAAACTTGGGTCAGAAGATCTGATTCATCCAAGCCGGGCTGCAGCAATTCCCTGAGGAAGGCAGCATCTTCAAAGGTATTTGCAGCGCTGTGGAGGTTGCATGCCTGGTGATGGGGAGGGATCCCTTGCAGGAATGGATTGCAAAACCAGCCGAGTGATTTAATCGTTGCATATACCTCATTGGCCCTGCCACCCGCAGTAGGGTTTGATCCTGCAAACCCCTCCACCCCTGGCAACTTTGAGCAAAGCGTGCAGGATCCGGCCTCGGCCATAGGAGACATCAAAGAGAAGTCATTACCTGCCAGGAGGATGAGGGATCTGCTCTTTGGACACTTGTTCCTGCACCTGTGGTTATTGCATGCTCCCTATAGGTAGCACTGCTCAAGTGGATTTAGGCAGGGTAAGATTACAGCTCTTCTAACTGGCCGGAGATCAGATGTGTTTCAATAACATCATCGAGCTGTACTTCAGGCACCATTAACATGACAATCCTCTCTCTGACTGCTATGACCTGGGGTTAAGTGTACATTTGAAATAGCTGGCGGGAGACTTGGCAGAGAGGAAATTCCAGCCTCAACAAGGCTGTTGCTAGCTGCAGTTGGAGCAGAGGTGTGCCAGTTTATTTGATTTTCCCTTTCTTTTCTTTTCCCCCCCTCTAAGCACACATGCCTGAGTCTCTGTGCTTTTATAGCCGGAAGAAGGAATCATTTAAGCACGTCTATTTGTGTGGCATGGGTAAATATTGATCTCTTTTTATGTGCACTGTGTTTAGTTTTCGCTTTTTCTTTTCTTCCTTTCTCCTCCTTTCTTTGCGAGAGAGCAATCCTAGCTCAGATGAAGGAGATCAAAAGGGCTGCTTCCCCTTTGATCCCTAGTCCTTTGTCGGCCCATCACACAATGTTGATTAGTTAGGTTTCCTCGTTTCCTCCAGTTTGCTCAAGTCAGGCTGGGTTTGTGCTTTGCTATCTCATCGCTGGGAGGGAAACAGCTGGAAAATTAGAGCTGTGTGAGGGAACAGGTTATAACAGAGCAGGAGAAAATACAGTTGAAAAATGATGCCAAGGT